GCTCGAATGGGGTGAATTTTTCATTCCTTGCGTCAGAGAGCCAACTGAGTCAATGTCTTAGAGCCGTGTACTTTTGTATTTAAATCAAGTTTAGGATCTGAGCCTCAGCTAAGATCTTGAGAATAGAAAAATGTACACAGCAAAATTTGTCGGTTCGGCTGTTTTGCAATAACTTATCAAAGTATATTTGGTTGCACTTGTCTAATTTCTTGTGAATTTTTACACTTTTATTTGCTGTTTCCCGAGCAGTGACACGACAAAGACTCCCTCAAGCTATGAATTTTTCCTCTTCCGCTACCTGCAGCACAAACAATTATCCATTCCTTATTTACCTAGATTAAAAGCCCGGATACGGAGGAGTCCGAATTTGCCGTTCTATGCCTTCAACACGAAAGGTATCCAGTAAAAACTCTCTCACAAGCCGAGCGTAAAATCTTTGATCCCTTTTATTTCGACTGTTAATTGCAAGTTATCATATATATCAAGCTCGTTAGATACGACAATCAGTTATTGTTGGTAAAACCTTGTAATCTCTTGTTTTGAAATAGCTTTTTGGGGCGTTTCTGTGTGTGACAGCGGTATACTCTATGTCTAGACAAGAGAATCTGCTCTAAAAAAGCCGCTGCAATTGTAATCTGATATGTCTTGAATAATGTATTATTGTAACCCTCCTTTGATCTGTTGGAGGTACAAACAATTAGTCTGCTGAACGCTGACGCCGTAGGACGCTAGGCCGCTTCAAATAGCTCCAACCTTTTTGTTTCTAATTTCAATACTCCGTATTTACGCATGTTGCACGATCATACTCCGTATTTAGACGTCTGTAAAACTGTGTAATCCTTTGTGGAAAAAAAAACAACAAAGATTTGACTTGCGTGAATGGAGTCCGCTTGTGAACTTGGGACCGTCTAAGTTCTTTGTCAAAATTTTTAAAGAGAGCTGTATTAATCCTCATTTTACAACCTGATTCTTCTAAGTGATTTCTCGAGTCGGTATTTTATACCTTGAAAGAGGCTGTAAAGTACTTTTTTTGATTAAGAAAAAATGAAAAAAAGGGTGAGAGAAACAAGAATGAAAGAGGAAGGAACTAGGGTGGTAAAAATCATAAAAGATTGAAAATGAAGAACAAAAAAAAAAAAGAACAAGATTCACATTTTAAAGATACTCCAATTGCGATCGAGCTGTGTCAAAGCAAGAGGATGATATTTACTGTAGAGTCCATTCCTCCCTCATCCTAGCTGTTTAATTTTTGTTATCTCTCACTAGAAAGTCCCTTGGGATTAGTGGCCGGGGGTGCAGGTGGGAGGTGGAGGGGTGGGGGCTGGGTGTACATAGTGTTTGGGTGCGATCCCGACGGCACCTTTATCTGCGTAGTCTGAATTTCAGCCGTCTCTTCCCTTTACCCCAAGGGGGGCGCGGAAGAGAGTCTCTCTCCCGCGCCCCCCTTGGGATAAAGGGAAGAGACGGCTGAAATTCAGACTATTATCTGCGAATCAGTTTTAACCCCTCTTGATTTCCGGAGCCGTGCATAGTTGGGATAAGGAGGGGGGGAATGGGGGGGAGTTGTTACAGATTTTTAATTGAATCGCCTTTGAAAAGTTTGACCTTATATACTTTGGTTAAATCTACGATACAAGAGAAACAGCTGAGGAATGCTACATTTATACGTGCTTTAGCACAAAACTAAAGGCTGGAACTGATATGGAGAAATCATAATCATGGAGATGTCGGTAATACATCGCTTTTGAAATAATCTACTTTCTTTCTCACTAGCTTGTACATGTTTAAACATTTCTCCGTAAATCATCTCAGTCAGACTTCTTTCTCCATGATTATTACAAATGAATGGCTGTAAATTCGTATCGATTAGATTCTCATTTGACAATCGTTTGCTTTGGAATCAGTTTCTTATGCACCCGTTGCAGCAATGTAAAAATAAGTCTGCTTATGCAAAAATGTTCACATATTTTTTGTTGTTGTTGTTGTTGTTGTTTCTTTATTATCGAAACGAAAGATAACGAACGTCTGTGAGCATTGTTTACTCCTTGAAGAGTGATAAGAGATGGTCGAGGTTTAGATAATAAACCAGAGAACCAGCGGTACAGCCTTCAGGCAACATCCAGTGGCTTTGCCAAATTCCAGCTGTACATTTTCCCTCGACTTTCGTGTTGCACTGTCACAAAAGCACGTGTGTCTTTTTTTTTTTTATGCGGCCTACCAGTTGACGTATGTCGGTGACAGAATAACTTATACAAATACTAATAGTATTTATAAAGATAAACTGACTTACAATTTGAACTTTATCTTTCTCCACATTGTTTATAAACTCAATGCTGTTGGGATTATTTCTTTGAAACCGACAAGTGTGTTCGTGTGGGTCAATCAAGGGTATACTTACTAAACTTCAAACAAATAGTTTATTTTCCGTATCAGTTTTTGGACTGGAAGCTGTGTGTATCACCTTTTCACGAGCACACCATCCTAAACTCTCACATTAAATACGTCACTAAAAACAACCATTAACGATGTTGTGTTATAAACAGCAGTAACTGTTTTGTAGAGTACCTTGTACCATCGTTGTCAAGTGTCTCAGTGTTTACTTTTCGCCGTTGTTTATACAAAAGCTAATTTTTGAAAGTAAGGTGAAAACCGATTAATAACACTTAGTTAATTTCTTTTAAGGTATTAATATAACTTTATTTCGTGTACTGTTACTTATGTTTAAAAAAAAAAACAACAACAACAACAAGGGGAAGTCCTTGACACGAAAACCCAGTTAACTTGATTCTCGCCGAAATTACGACTGTTGTGGGCAAGACTAACCAGTGTTTACTGGCAAGAGATGTCTCTGTTGTTGAACAGTATCCAAACAATCTGATTCCGATTTCCGTTGCATGCAAAAACCCAAAACAGGTGACATCCCACAGACACAGCAGACGTACTCATATCGCAAAATTTAATAGGATAGCGAGGAAAAACCTTAAATGCAATTACTGGTATTATCTCAGCTAGTTTTCCAACAGCGATAACAATGTTTTGATTTTGCCGAATGCGTAAGACAATAATGAGATTGTTGTGAGTTTTTGTCGGCAGCGGAAACTCGAGAGCAAACCAAGACTAATTCTTCCAAGTTCAACGTTATTACACCGAACATGCAATAAAACAAGACTTAAACAGTTTTAATTTTTGATCTGGTTAATTAAAGAATCCCGTCGGCAGAGACGGATGTTAAGAGTCGAGAGAGTGAATAAACTCCACTCTCAATGAGAGGTAATTAATGTTGGTTGTTCGTCCAGTTGAAAAACTTTGTTCGCTTTTAAATGAACCTAGATGAATTGAGCGGCTTTCTGACAGATTGTTTCATGTTCCCGTCTCTGAACAGTTGACTATGATCACACAACATGTCGTATACGCCCTAAAACGCAACAAAAATGTTTCATACAAACTTTGTAAGTACAAAATAAATGGATAAAGGAGATGACCCCTGGCTCTCCTTTCAAGCAGTATTCATTTGTTTGCGCGCCAGTAGAGTGTTTTACCTTTGAGGTTTGAGTGGTTAATCATACAAGATGTAATTTTGGTTTTTTTCGCGAACAAATAATACAGAAATAATTTGGATACCACTTCCCCTGAGGATAAGCAAGTTAACTTTTGATTATTGCCTATTTTACGAGAAGTTTTTCTTGATAATTTAAGGAACAAATAACTCACAGAAGCATAGAAATTGTGTTCAAACTCGGCGATGTTCTGTTGAAATAAACTTGCACAAGCTTCCACCTCTTTTTTCGAATCTTTTATTATTTGAAATATATTTTTGTCTTAATTATCTACCAGGTGAGCATGCCTGAAATAAAACCAACAAAAAGGAAAGGAAGAATAGCAATTTAGAAAAACAGTGAAACTGCCTCTGGTTATACGATGTTTTGACCAGTGTTTGAGATCTCTACACTAAAGTAGCAACATATGTTATTTTCCCGCCTTGGGGTGGCTTTTCCTTGTTATTTCTTATCCCCAGACTGAAAAAAAATAGTCAAAACCTCGATTGTTTTATTTCAAGAATATCATTAATACATTCAGTTTAATTTAGTAACTTTGGCGTAAACTGTTATGTTAAAAGGATGAAAACAGTCTCCTTTTTTTCGATTTCAAGCAAATAGGATATTTTTACACATAAGTAACGTTGAAGTCCCCCGTTTTGGAGTCATCACGTAAGTGCAAATTTTATCTCAATAACCCAGCCTCGAGCACTAAGGGGTGACCTATCTTTCGGACGAAAAGCGTGGGATGCGAAAAACTTGGTTGAATCCGAACAGACGTTGACATTTCGCCGAAGGTTTTTGCAATTGTTGGTACGCCCGAGCACGTGGACAAATCCGGTCTTAGCAGACACTAATAGAACTAAAATAGAAATGTGTTCTCATGTCCAAAGGCCGCTGGCAGTTCCAGATTAATTATATATTTTCAACATGTCTGTTTAAGTTGTATCTTGACACGAAATCTTTTTGTATTTATTTGAAGATAATTTGTAAACAGCTGTCTACCCGATAAGGGATGTGTTTTTGTCTTTGCACCACGAATGGTTTCTTCTGGTCACGAAAAGTCTCGAATTTAACCTTTGCTCCCTTTTTCGGCGGATATTTAACAATATCTAAACAATTCCATGCTAACTCTTTTCTTCGCGCACACCAACGCAACATTATTACATAAAACAAGGCAATGAAAACTTGAAATATTGATTGAAGAAGCAAGGAGGTTCGCTTAAATTTTCAGACAACTCTTAGGACTGTTAATATCTCGAGTCACAACAGAAATTTCGAGATAGCTGATTCTTTCCTGATCTTCAAAGAACAATTTTCCCCTCAGAGATAGCGACATATTAAGTTTGGCTAAGTCAACATTTTCTCCCTAATCCACTTTCCGTTATGGTTCTAATGAAATCGTTGGCGAATAATCCCATATGCGTCACATAATGATCAAATACAAAGCAAAGCTAGACGAACTAGGCTCACCAAAGCGGGTTTTATTTCCAAAATTACAATTCTCCTTTCAACTACAAATAATCTCTTTTTATCTACAGAAATTTCAATTTAAATCAACTATATTACATTTCGTGTGCCGGGTACTGTGAATTTAGCTTCTTATGAATTTTTTTTGGAACACAACTAATTTACAACCCGTTGTTTTTTTTTTTCTTTTCTTTAGAAAAATTTGCAACTCACAAAGTAGCCCTCTCAACACTTAGTGTTAAGCTTATGTAAAACAAATCCAATGTTCGAGTCTCTTTTTACATTAGAGAGTGCTTTTAGCAGTCTAATGTTGTCAGAAACTTATGGTCGACTCCAAACATCATAGAAAATCCCAAGAACTTTAAAAGGTTGGTATTTGATACCCACCCAGTCGCGAAACTTACAAACACAAACACACACGCAAACCAAACCACACCAGAACCCAGATGGCAAAATCTTTTGTGTTTTACACAGAGTTGTTTTTTTTTTTTAAAGCGAAATCGTTACTTGAATTCAGTTAGAAAAACATCGTACACTCAGTTTATATATACACACGTTGATTTCACGGCTGTTTTAAATTTTCTTTCAGAAGAGCAGCTTTTTTTCCCCCTATCGAGCTGATAGAGTCGTCAAAGCTAAAGCGGCGTCAATTTCTCGATAATTCGACGTTTCTACGGTTATGCTGTGGAGAACAAGCAGAAAATAAAAACATTACAGATTTATATGACCTTGAGACAACTTAACAGAAACTAAGGAACCACCTCAACAAAATGCTTTTTTATTAATTTTGATACGACAATCTCGACACATGTTCCAAAGAGGTAAACAGAAAGCGGCCTCTTTTCAAAATATATCTTTCAGCGAGACAAGACATTTCTTTGCTTCGAATTTGCGAAGCACAAGAAACATAGATGTCTGAAGCGTAATCAGGTCTCAGATACAGATATAACTTATTCCTCGTTCTCTTTAGAGAATGTTTGAATTGTATCTTGTACAAAATAAATCTTAAGTGTCCTGTAGTTTTATTGTTTACCTTTTGCTTACGGTATTGAAACCCCTCGCCGTTTCCTCTTTCCTCTCCAATGTTATCGGCTCCTCTTTGGAAGGGCGACTTCTGTGGGGTGGCTCACTTTCTATTTCTTTTTTCTCTGTTTCAGTTTGAGAAGGCGTCGAATTTCGTACTGTTCAAAAAGACGAGAAATATTTCGTGAACACTCACTCGACCCGGCAACTGAGTTTGAGGCGGGTTGTTAAGATAAACGTAGCAGCCAAGAGTGAAAATTTTTAAGTTGTGTTAAAGAATACAAGACCCAAAAGCTGAAAAATAATTACGTGAAATATAAAGTTTGTGTCCATGTTTTAAAACTGCCCAGCGGAGGGTAATTTTCTTCATCTTTCTCTTGTTTCTGAAAGCTTTCTTGGGTTGGTAATTATTCTAACCGAGTCTGGAAAATTAACACTTGAAATAATTTGTTGTGAGGCAACAAGTATCTTTTAACATATTGCTACGCTCCACAAATTTTCAGTGGGCAATGCAATATCACTGATTTAGCTTCAAAAGCGAAGTACTAGAGTGAGAGGTAAAAGAAATCTGTTTGCGGGGAATTTAAACCATGTTAGCATGTTATTCAATTAGGGTCTCATGTATAATTGAGTTGGCAAAACAACTACCAGCTTTTGTGAGCTCGTTCTCAATGCGATCTGTACCAGACGATAAACGTGTCAGTTCGCACCAATTTGGTGAATGGTAAAGATTTTCACGAATGCTGTAAGTTAAAAAAAACCAGTAAATTATCAAAGTGAAATCCGAGTTGTGCTGCTATCAAAAATACTTTTAAACTATACGCTTGGAAGTCAGGATCGATCTCTAAGGAGGCTTTCCAAAGCGAGCAATACTTCTCAAGTATGTGTCTTTTTTAATGAACTCTGGCAGACATAAATGGCTCCTTCAGACAGAGCACACATTACTTTTGAAATATCTCGTTCTGTGATCGACTGAAATCTTTCCTCTTGAAATGAACACATTTTAAAACAATAATTATTGCATCCTAAGCTGGTAAAGCCGCAAAAAATAAATATATGGCAGTGGCGATTTCTTTCGTGTCTCCGAAAAGTATTCGATCATAGTTCAAGGCGGTTTTCTTGAGGAGATTTTGGACACCCAGTACGAAAAAAGTTCTGTCGCAGCTTGTAATATTAGAAAATCATGTCCGTTTTGGCTCTTAGCTAAAGGAAAACCAGTGACCTTAAAATCTAAATTTAACACAAAGGTGGAAATTTGCCACACCGCTAATGTTGCATGCAACATTTTCAGGATACCAAAGTTCACCCTGAAACTATTGATATTTCTGTAACGAAATCCCGGACTACCTTCCACGTAAACCCCGCAAATGAATTTACTGTACAGCGTTAATAAGCTAACGGGATCCAAGCCGACGGAATATCGAAATTACTAAACCACTTTTGTTAAACAGTCTACCCCTAAAAACCATTACAAGTCTTTTTTTTTTATGGATAAAGGGGCAATGGCTTATTGAAATTTGGCCACCCTTGCTCGAAGCCATATTACAAGGAGGCAATGTTTAACGCCATTATTGATCCATAATAATCGAACAATACAAAGCTCTCAGTAGCACTTTCAGCGATAGTAAGAGGCTATTTCGTAACTATTTATTCACTTTATTCTTTTTTTCGGTCAACTTTACCTTGAATGATGACGGACGCTTCGGTGGACAAGTTCTGAGTTGGTGTCGATGGAGGTGTTTCACATGTCGAAGGACTCGTATTCACAAGACTAACAGGCGTGTTATGAAAGCATCCATCCACCCATTTCCTTAAGCTTTTTACAGGAGAATCTTCTGGGTCACCAGAAGTAACACACTGAACAGCTCGTAACGCTTGAAATTGAACGACAGGATTTGCCGTTCTGTTTGGCGAACTTTCCGTGGTTGTTTTAGGCTGTTCCGAAATGTCCATCGTATTCGACGGCATGTTTTCCTTCTTTTCATCTTTGTCGAGCGTTTCTGTTGAAGAAATAAATGATACGTAGGATTTTTTCCGGCTCGCTCAGATATGAAAAACATTCCATTTAAAGTTCCCCCGTGTTTCTCTAAGCCACTCATTGATCTCAAAGTACAAGCCATTACACGAAGATAGAAATAGCTTAATACAAAATTGTTTTCGTTGTTTCAGAACAGTGTGTAACGCTAAACTTTACAAACGACAGAACAACAATGTTGCTACAAACTCTATAAAGACCACAGCACGATTTCCAGGTGTAGTGCAAAGAATTTCTCTTACATCTGCGACCTGGCTCTCAGAAATTTCGAATTAAAAAAAATTCCTTCTCGGGCCCATGTCGAGCAAGCAAAAACCAGACAATACAAACTCTAGACGCGCTTAAAAATAGATGAGTTGTATAGAAGGACTTTAGCTTAATCCGTCCCTGACAATATTCGACCGATATATCTAAAATCGACAAGTCGATATAAACAGGAATATGTTTCCATACGCAATACCTTTAAAGATAGTTATATTTTCTTCTTTCTCATCGCAAAGTTTCTCTTCTTCGCTGCCGCTGTGTTCAGCGTCGGATTCGCTTACTGTGTCTTCGTCCTCGCCACCTTCCTTTTTCTCGCCACATCGATTCCTCGGTGACCAAGTCATTTTATTTTCCTTTTTAAGCCTTCGTCTTGCGTTCGCAAACCAAGTTGAAACTTGCGTTAATGTCATCTTTGTCATAATAGCTAGCATTATTTTTTCGCCTTTAGTAGGATATGGGTTTTTTCTATGTTCATAAAGCCAAGCTTTGAGTGTGCTTGTTGTCTCCCTGGTCGCGTTCTTCCGTCTCGCTCCCGCTGCGGCCAAATCGATCGGAGAAAACCTTTAAAACACGAAAAACCATTTCCAAAGTTACAATTTTGCGCCAATTGTAATTTAACTAGCTCGCTGAAATGTTTAATACTAGTTGTGTATATATTTCTCTAGTGAATTCGATCATTATTGTTTGCTCACAAACTTGATTAATCTCAACTACATCAGTATTGAAATGATTGGTAAAAGGAACCTTTCCATATTAGAGTTCTTCCGCTACTAATAGCCAACCTAACTAAATACGGGTATTGCTTCCCTAAATGCTGCGGTGGATAACAAATTCGCGAAGCTTCCATTTGCACGGAATTGCAGTTAAACACGTTCACGAGCACAAGAAACTCGAACAGTTTGCTTAAGTGGTCGAGTTACTATCGGCATAGACATTTAATTTATTTACCTTTCACCGAGTCCGGGACATGATGTGTGAGAATGAGGATCAAACCCTTGAAGGTCTAAAGGATGTCGAGCAGCAGTTGCTTGAGCTAGATACCAAGAGTCTCTCCATTCTTTGATGTCGCACGCTCGTGCCTGTTCGAGTATAAATCGCCCAAGCACGGAAAATGAGAAAGAACTCGAGAAACAATTATTAGGCTCAATTAACTTAATGGAGAAGAAAAAAATACTTAAGACACAAATTACATCAGTGAAACAAGTGGCGTAAAAGATAGATCAATTAGACGGGAGACAAGCGTAAAGGGAATAAAAATTACACGAGTTTGTTTAAATTCACAATAACACAGTCAAGTCTCGCTCACCAGAGGCGAATAGAAAGCAGACAGGTCTGCAGTCGACCCTATTGTGAAACCAGCTTCGTTAAATGGCGGTCTTGGAAGCAAGTTTACTGGCATTGTGGAAACCCGATGTTGAAGGACTCTATCTAACTGACAAGGACACAAAGAGTGCGAAGATAGGCCGTCGTGCAAGGGAGAACGCACAGATTCACAACAAGAAGTATGGGCACCTGGAATCATCAACTGCGAAAAAAAGCGAGACGGTTACACACAATCATGTCTGGTTTTCATGGAGATGAAATTTACATAGTTCGTGGCATCGAATGTATTTGAACGAGTTAGTGACAACACGAAAATCTTACCTGAGGGGAAAATGTACATCCGAACTGAGGACAAGAAATCTTTGTAGCAGCAGAATTTGCCATCAGTGGTCAAGACGGAGGAGCATCAAGTAACTGAGTCGGTCGACAGGTAGATTGAAATCGTATCAATCGAGACGTAAATAAATTAACAAGAAGAAAAAATGTTTACTGCCGTGTTTCTTGGCCCAAGCTTGGGCCGAGTGAGTAAAATGGCTACTGAATTGTAGCGGTGTCAATTGAGTTTCTTAGGCAGCTTGTATTGATGTTCTGTACATACACATGGAACAGTCGATGAGCACCGTTCAGATCCTGTGTGCACAAAACAATATCTTCAATCGTTTCATCTTGTAGTTTCTACAAGGGCTACCGTCAATTTTGACACTTCGTGACACAACGTTTGCTGGTCGAACCAATCGAATTAAAAAGGGAACAAGCTTTGTATTGAAAACGCGAGAAAATGATTGGCAGAACTTGGCTTGTTAACTAGGCTTACATTTATTATTGTCTATTGCCAACATGGAAAACGACACGGGTGACAGGGAAAACCCGCCCATGTGGGTGTTTTTGCGGAGCATCGCTCCGCCCAACTGGGTGCACTCACTTCTGTTATGTCTCAAAACAGTGATTGCTGATCGCTCCTTCTAGCTAATGATTGCACTAGCGTAGGAAGTCAGATTGTTCTGGTTATTATCGGCATTATGAATGCGATTGTAAGCTATTCAATACCGCGCCATGACATCTCAAAGGGGAGCGCTGTTTCGGTAGCCTTTGCCAACCTATGTACTTATTGCTCTCAGCCATGTTTATTTTGTTGGTTTACATTTTGAACAGCGCAAACCGAGTGCAAGAGTCTAACATATGGATCGATTGTGTTGTGTTCCCAGTCGTGGTTACTTGAATATCGATCGATCGCCATATCGGATCATCTAAACTTGTTTTTGACACGTTAATTTTAGCATTCTTGTGGAAATATATTAACATCGCAAACCTCATCACTCACCAACGTGCAACTTCTCTTCTTTTGTTGGGCGGTGAAGAGGTGTATTTTTTTTTTTCCTTAGTAGTGTGGACTCTCGAGTAATGCTCTCGAGAAGAAAATACTCAACCAACCCTGGTGCTATATATATCGAAGCTCACAGCTGTGGCTGACTATTATTTTATCGCTTTTACTTTCTGGCAGCAGAAAAGACGATTGTCGATAAACAAGAACTCGGGAAACCCCCACAGCTGTGAGGCAGCTCACGGTGCCAAGAGCTAACATAGCCAAGTTATTGAATTTTCTCAGTGCGGTTTCGATGTATGATTGATGTCGGTCGCCGAGGACATGCGTATACATGTATTTAGATGTAATTCAATCGATTATATGACAATTAACAACTCCAGGTCATACAATTAACTAGCAATTGTTCGAAAAGCTTGTACTACATCTAATTTGTCTTACCAATGATTATTTAAGGAAACGAAATTATTCCGCTCGCTGAACGAAACGAAATCCAATCTAGTGGGACAACGGATGTCTTTGGGTTTTCGCTCCACGAAACGAAAAAATAAACTTGAATTATAACCCTGACACGAGCACTTGGATTTAAACAATTAAGTCTATACCCGTCGTCTTCATGCCTCTTGTGTTCACGTTGTTTATATTTCTCCAAACAATGCGCTACAAGATAATGAGGTTTTGTGACATAAAGAGCACGTGGATGAAAGTATTTTTGGACAACAGCGTCTCCCGTTCAATCAGAAAAAACGCCCAAGAACGCCATGATTCCGTGTGGAAAATGAAGCAAAATATTCCTGAAACGCAATGAACTCGGTAGTGGCTCATTTGAAAAGACTTTTGTGTGTTTATCTCGTAGGTGTGAAAAACGTCTACAAGATGTCTACATTTTATGTTAAATAGGTTCGTTTTGCCATCTATAATAACACCGTGTTTGTATTTCTAACACCGTTTGCACGGAAATGCTTTCCATTATGCTCTCTTCTAATCAGCCCAGAATCCTACCCAGACATCTTATTATGCATGAAATTAGCATCGTTAGTTATTTATTCAACTCCCTTCTAACCTCACAACGAATACAAGCCGGAAAAAATTCCAAAAGAATACTGATAAAAACCGAATTCTAAATTCTGCCTTCACCTGGTGCGAAGTTGCAGTTCTGCTGATCTCCCGCTATCGAAAATGTCAATTTTTCCTGCTGGACTGAAATTTGTTTGCCCACTAAACCCATTGTACTCCGTTGGTAGAAACCACTTGAATTTTGTACATCACTTCTGTTCATCTTTGAACGTTAATTAAAAACTCCTTGTGGAGTTATACCACGACGTCACCGATTTAGAATGCGGTCAAGCGAGACGGCACGCGATACACACGCGTTACACACGCGATATTCAAATTATTTCAAATTGAATTCAGTTGTGGAGTTTCTTCTCTGAAGGAAGAAAAAATGACGAAAATAGAAGATTTTTTGATTTGAAAACAAATGATCTTTTTGGAATAATATTTTTAAATAGAAAACACAACAATAAACCCCTGACAATCGGACGTTTCTCCCACGGAGAGCTAAATGACCAGCTTCCTTCTTGACTCCTCTCTTGGAAATGTTTTTCTTTCCTACTTTATCTCTCTTTTTTTTTTTTTTTTCTGGCGTCTGTTTTATATTATGTCCACAGATCAGCTTTGCCACCCCGAGTTGTTTATTTTTTTGCCCCTTTCTGAAGTAGATTAAGCGTGGTCTGAATTGTTCTGCCAGCGGTGTCGTTTGAAGATCACTGAATCTAATCTTAAAATAAACAGAGGAAGCCTCTATGGTCCATGTCCCGGAAGCTATCGACAACGAATTGTGTTGTTTTTTCTTTTTGTTTCGGTAAAGGTCTCGATTTCAACGCATTGTTCAGAAAAGAGCACAAAATAACTAAGCTTATTTTGAGCCCAATTTATCGAAAAACAACAACAGCAACAAGGATCACACTTGTTAAACACACGCACGAAGAAAAAAATAAAAAATTCGTCGTTGCTAGAAATCTGAAATCCTGAATAAAATTAATCTGACATATTCAACCTGATTCATTTGGCTCTCAGTAATATCCCCCACTTAATAATCATAGTTCGAGCTTATCTCGAACAAATAGCTTTAACGGCCGTAAAGCTTGGCTGAAAATGATGCCCGGATAACCAAAACATAGAGGCTGAGAGCCGAATTTCCGGTAAAGCTATTGTAATTTTTTAATCGATCACGTGTGGCATTTAAACTATTAAAAAAATCAGAACGCCTAAGTACAGCTTGATAAAACTTTTAAATTGGATTTGAACGTCGATCTAACGATTTACATTAATCTTGCAGAAAACTGGTGATAAGATCTAAAAGTGAACCTTAAATGCGCTTAAACGATATACTGTATAATAAAGTAAGTCAGCCAAGGGCAGGTCATCGTAATTTTAGATTATTTTGATATCATTTTTGATGAAAACCAACTTAGCTTCGCCCCACCTGCGCCAAAGGGAACACATCTGTAAGTGTGGAGTGTGCTTTCTCTGGTGTCAGGAATATTGGTGTTACCCCCATGATGGATTTTCTTTTATCATTACTTAAGTATTGCTAAAACTCCTACATCCATACCAGACGTTTTATACATATGTCGCAGCAAAGCCTCATAAGCTAACGTATGCCATTTTAAGTCCTTTATTTCGAGCTTGTAATTCACTCGGACTGAAAACCTGGTTGATTTAGTTTCATTGACCACATTTGAATGATAAATGCATGCTAAAAAGCTCTTTTGTCCTGAAAAACCTACAGACAGCAACAGCGATGATTTGAACAACTTTAAGTAATTTCAAATGCTGGTCAGTGCGACCTGAGGTTAAATTGCCAGACTTAGTCGTCTGACTTTTGATGATTACAGGGAAACCCAAAAAAAAAAAAATTAATGATATCAGTCAGTTATGTCTCTGTTATTAAAAGGGGCCAATTGTCACCCCAACGGTGTGAAATTTTCATTATTTAGTTAGTTTCAAAATAGTTTAGTGCTAGGATTACCAATGTCATGTAGGAAACCGGAAATGTGTACAAAAAGCCGCTGAAAAGGAGAGTTTAAAACGGGTTCAGAACCTGATCAACCTTTTCATTTTCAGCATGCACTGATTCGGGTAGAGTTTTCCCCTAAAAACGATTTCAAGATCATTCATAGAGTGAAAGAACTCTATATCCTTCATCTGACAAAAAGAGAACGCTGATTAGTCACTGTAAAAGCGGAAGACCTTTTAACTGGTGTTGTTTGTTCTTGCACGTAACAGGAGCAAGCAAACATTGCCGAATACAACTATTTGATATCGCTCCAAATTATAAGTAACGTGCGGCCCACCTCGATGAATTAGCTGCAAAAAATAAACTAATAGATTCTTCTGAATAGGCTTTCAGTTCCGGTCACTTTCTCTGCTCATTTTGTTTTCTAGAACCTTCATAGGATATCAACTAAACCCCAAACCTCGATAATGATTATTTTGAGCGGGCGAGGATAAATGTTCGCAAGTCGCGATTGAGAAATGAATGAGGAGTGATTCTCAATTGAGAAAACCTTTGTTTGCGCCCTATTTTTGGCAACTACCGTTATGAAATACTTGTTATTTTGAGCTATTATGGTGTTTACCTTTATGGTGTTTACCTTTTTGTGTAATGTTGTAATTCTATTCACTTTTGGGGTAATGTCGCTGAAATTTTTTAAAGCTTAGCTAATTTTACTTTATCGATATCAAACGCTACGCGTCTGTTTTATATCTCCAAAATTGACAGTTTAAAGGGTGTCTGGCGGAAAGATTAGAGTTAAAAAATTTGTTCATAGGACAATTTATCACAGTTTTCATCTCATAAACAATTTTTTTCGCAAATATTGCTTTTCCGGTTATATACTGAAAGAGAAACACTAAAGTTTCAGATTATCCAGAGGTTTGTTAAATACCGTTGTTAAATGAATTTGACCTGTAAAATTCCCTGACTACGCGCGGTATTAAAGTTGACGACTAGAATTGGTAAATGAGAAATGTTACAAAGCAAAATTTTAGGATATTTGGTACAATATTTTGATAATTTGAATCATGTCGGCGCCGATATGATATCAATCGGAATGATAATGCACAGAAAAAGGGAAGAGATTCGTTTATTCAACACAAATTTCAAATTATACGTTCTTTGCATTCTTATGACAGTTTTATCCAAAGCGCTAAGTACTTGTGAACTGATGAAGAATTTTCATAACTTGGGGTGACTCTGTAAGTCATCGTTAAGCCTCCGAATTAAAGTGGCTTTGGTGGAATTTTCATAGCACTTCCATTAATTAAAGATTATTGCAAGCGACCAATTTTTCCATATATTTTTCTTTCGGTGTGACTTGAAATATACTTCCTGTTCACACAAGCAAATACAGTTTTAAGAGCAGGCATAGTTGCCGACTTTTTTTAAATTTTTTCGTGTTATAATAACCCTTGAGCCATCTTCTTAATCAGGACCTAAAGGAAGTCGTTAGCCATGTTTTTAATCTCTTTTTAATAAGTTAAAAAAATGTCCCTTCTCCTCAAAGAGGTTTATTGTGTCATGATCTCATGCCTTCAAACGGTATTGCTTTGCCACCACAGTGAATCCTACGAAATCTTTTTTTTTTTTTTTTGTGAGGCAGACCTAACAAAAATTATAAAAAGCAAGTCACAGATTTTTGAAATTTTTCAAGTTGCTTTCGATATTGCGGTGTCACAAGCGCCAACCCAGACTCTTTAAGAGTTTTCTGACAATTTGTAGTACGATAGCCTAGCCACAGTGAGGCGTGCCAAGCTAATGAACTTTGTCCTGTAGAATTTATAGAACACGCCGGAGAACTAGCACAGGTTTTGGCCACATTTGCGAGTATAGAACTTATAACTCTCGAGAAAAAACTTTCCAAAATTGTATCCAATACGCACTTATGCAATTCTGAACGCGCGTTTGCGAGTTTGCAAATGTGCATACGAAACTGCACGCAGTGGTTAATGGGATGAAGGCCACCTAACATATGTTGTAAATAACATTTAAGCCGACAGTTCCCCAGAACGATGAAACACCCTAAGAGCCTTGCACAAAACTGGCTTCGGCCCAAGAGAAAAAGGTTATACACTTATCAAACAATATATGTCGATTCGTATTCGCCCTGGGGGCAAAGTTACCCTCATTCCTCTTAGCTACGTCTGACATTTGATGCCATGTGATAACAATGTCGTAGCTTAAATGCGCTAATTTTATCACTCACTTAATTCGAAGCTTGTTCTTTCCTTTGTTAACATGACAGATGACATGGGCTTTACACCAGCTGTAGGCTGAAACGAGACGCTGTCATTTTACCCACAGGGAGCCCAGACAAGCGACGAGTCTGGTTGTTCGAAATATAAAGGAATGTATGGGAGAATATTGAAGAGTCTTATTATCGTAAACTTAGATCATGAAATGTCTAAGTTAAAGCTCAAAATAAATGTAAACCTACCTCGCTGGCTGTGTACTGTCGTTTCTGTGGCTCTAAATGGCGAATTTGAGCGATTTGGTGCGTCGACTGTTACTAAACGTTATA